CTTAACCTCAGGGCACCATTGCCTATTCATTCCTCCTTTCTCTAGATCATCGACAATCATTTCAATTTTCTGGAAACCAACAGAACCATCGGCAGCAGTATTGTCGAAGCCTTGTAACTACTTCCTCTGTGAGGCTCGTCTGACTTCTAGGATCTTGAGTAAAGTGGTGTGACTGAGAGGTTCAAACTTCTCCTCCCGACAGAACTGTATGTACTGGCTAATCACCGTACACCAAGTCACGGTACGCACCACGTTCGGCATCTCGATGATTTCGCCACTGTCTAGCTTAAGGAATTTAGTTCTGTAAGACACGTCTTGATAAAAAGTATGTGCGATTAATGAACTCGACGAAATGATCGACTTTGGTCATATCAATGCGAACACGATGATGTATCTTCTCCTCAGGCAGCTGGTTGACTGAACCTTTGGTAGAACTGTGCCATTCCAAACCCAACAGTCCTCTCAGAATGCTTCTTCTGGCAAGTGGTGTAAATAGCTATAAAATTGCATCAATACAACTGATAAATAATCCATCGTCTTCATCATCGTCATCTTCATCTTCATCGTCTAGCTTAGCCTAAGTCATTTCTAAGAGAAATACCAGGCGTTTCAAACACATCTAGGAGGCCTATAGTCTCTATCTTGCGTAACAGTTGTCGTTGTGGGTGTGAGATAAAGGAAAGGTGTTTTCGAACCTTAGAGACGAGTAAAATAGGGGCGACATCGCGCGAGGCATGGGGAGGAGATGCAGATTCACCGCTCAGAACTATATTTTTATCCTTCATTGCCACTAGCCAGGCTGGCCAGTAGTCTTAGTGCAGCAATAGCATAAAAGAATTAAAGAAATTTACTTGGTTGATGATAAAAAACGCATTTTTGTATTTACGACTGCGACACCAATAATTAACCAAGGGAAATGGACATATGACCAACAACAACAAAAACTTATAGGAGTATTGACAATTGAGGAAACAGAACTCGAGAGAGCCACAAGGCTATTGGTACTTTCGTGATCCTACAGCGGCGATTTCTTTAAACGTAAGTCTTATTTCGTCAGCTATTTGGAAGGTTATGACGTGGCTGCCCGCCACACTTGTAACTTTTCCAGTATGGCCGGGGTATTGGCACGACCTTGAACCTCGTTAGAATCTTCCCAGTAAGTGTCTGTGCCTTGGGCAGATGGTCTTTCCCTCGGGCTGAATTCTCGAAAAATGCTAAATTCCCGCTCTCGCCATGATTAACTTGGCTTCTGTAACTACGCTGTATTCTGACAAGTAGCAGCTAGCCAAATGGGCGGATATATCTGCGTTACACTCGGAGAGCAAAACATGTTTTACTTCCTCCTTGCTAGAACCGACTTTGCAGTATTTCGTAAAGAGAACAATTTGGGGGACAGCAGACATTTTTAGTGCTAACGAAGAAAACGTTCCAAGAAACACTGTCTCGGATTTGTCGGAAAATCTTGCCGACAAATCTTTCTGTTCCCGACAGATTTTAATTGAATTAGGGAGAAATAAACAAGTTTTGCCAAATATTCTTTCGCAAAAAATAGAATTGCCACACAGAAAAGTTAAAAAGTTTTAACTTTAGTAAGCTTTGAGCAAAAAACAACTCGTGTGTTTTTGAAGAGATGTACCTGTATTAAAATGAAAAGTAGCTGCCGTCGAATTTCTTTATCAAAATTAATCAGTAAACACACGGCTCTTTTTTAGCGCCCCATAGAAAATGAATATGGTCATAAAAATATAATACAAAATTTTTGCCTTAAAAATACGGAAAAAATTCCTACAATAAAGAAAAAAACATAACCCTTTCTCATCAAGTAAACGCCAAACAAATAATGTGACCTGGACTACACATGACACATAACTTTCTGTAGCTAATTTGCATAATTTATTAACCGCAAGAACGCTCTCCCTCCTTGTTTGTTCTTCAGCACACCTATATCTCAAATACAACGGCGTAAGCGTGATATGACCCTTTTTGTAATGTAAAAACCAACCTCTCATTATTTATTATTTGATTTTATGGTGGTTCTCGGTCCCGATATTAATAAACTGTTGGACCGTGTTTTATCGAGATAAAAACACGTGAGCGAAATGAACAACTTTATTTATCAAAACAAACTGGATTCCGTTAGCGCATTGTGTTCAAAGAAAATAGCTCTTGAAATTTTACGTAATGCATTCAAGAAAGGATACAAAAATTGAGTTTCCACATTCTTAAAAACACTTCTTTGAATGGCTAAATGTTGTTACGAAAAATGTTTGTGACGTGTATCGTATAAACACGATCGCTGCAGCCAGGAGGCTGCAGTTAAAATGCATATAGGAATTAAAAAGTATTTTCATTTCGTTAAAAAAAAGGCCAAAATGATGATTAATATCGATCTTGATACTCCATCAGATAATTTTTCCTGCACTTTTAAGTGTTTTAGGGTTGTTAATCTTTACAAACTTGTCTGCTGGTCGGACTAAGTTATCGTTGGTTTCGATCAAGACGGCGAATATTTATGAAATTCACAAAGCTCTCTACGGCGTAGGATGAGGAGTGCCCAAAAGTTTTATTCTATGTTTAACTTGCTGTATCTAAGTACTTTTAAGCTAAAATAGACTTGACTCTAGATCAAGTTCCACACAAGAGAAAATAGCTTTCAACCGCACTCCTCACAAATTTCAATGCTCACGATAAGGTATTTTGAAAGTTTCATAACTCGGTAAAAGTTTTACAGAATGCAATCGTTTCACCTTTGAAGTATTGAAATAAAGTCATTCTTAAATATGTAAAATAATCAGCTTTCTAGATTGAGAAAAAAGGATTTGGTAGCGCTCGATATTTATAGCTTGATTATAGGGGTCACAGGAGACAAATTGAACAGTTTTGGGGTGACCTTTAAAATTGTCTCGTAAAAAATAAAATAAATAAAATTGATCAAAATAAATGCGATATTTGTACATGGGACAGAATTGTTGACTTCCAATGAAAAACTTAGGGAAATCGGTGTAGGACCAAAATTTGCCTTATCCGTTCTTACGCAGACAGCCTCTTAATTAATTGGCCTTGAAGTAATGAGTAACATTATTTCATGCCAAGCGTGAGACCTACGGGGCTCGAGGCTTGAGAACTAGTATACAGGGAAAGATAAAATGGCGGCTTACGGCGGTGAAGGAAATCTAAGTAGTTTAATTTTTTTAGCGTGAAAAGGCTTGGGTGTTGAGATCTGGTTCTCAAGTAAAAAAATTACCAACTGAAATGGCTCTACCACCTTTTAAACAACAAGAAAACATTGAAACGGTGATGAAAAAGCAGTAAGTTTCGAAGTCTAAACGAAAGATGGGTAAGCTGAGTTTTAGTCAAATATCATGACGTTTGGGATTTAATTTCGACACCAGATTAATAGTTTTACATGGCCATGATTCTGAGGATTCTGTTGTGTTCACGTGAAGGCCACTTCAGCTGTTCCTGCCACTTGTAAGTTGTAGGAAATAAAAATATGCATACTTGTGTCGTATTGAAGCCCTGTGAAATCACAAATATGATATATTTCTTCGTTGTTTTAGGTGGTCATTATTTGTTATTTTTGGAAGTCGATGCTGATGAAAAAGAGAGAATGTTAACGATTATTTCTTCTCTCGAACATTTACTATCTAGGTACCAAAAGTCTTGATACTGAAGATCATTGCATCCTATTAATATGAAAAATTTACCCCTGATTGCTTTGTCAACATGTATGATGTAATATAGCTTGTGATTTGAGGGATTCTCACTAGTAAACAAGAAATACCTTAAGAGGGTAATGATGTACTTAATGCAAAGCGTTTTGGTACAAAGTTTGCTTTGCTCTAATCTACCTGAAGGTTCTTTTTATATGCTAGTAACACTTGCACAGCCCAGTCGAAATATTTTTTAGTAGTAGCTGTTGTAATTATAGGCAGCAGAGGCCAAACCTGAAAAACAGTCTGAAAGGTGTGAAGTCAGTTGAAGGTACTTCATTATAGGTGGCCAAATTGCAGGCCGTCAGCCCATTTTGAGTAAACAGTTAAACTCAAGATTGGCTATTTTAACTAATGTTATTGAGAGCCAAATCTTGCAAGGCTTAAATTCTGTTTTATTTTGAAGTGTTACTTTTATGTTTCTTATTTTGCAGTAAGTTGGCTTGTTATGGCCATCTTTATCTCAAACATTTTTTTCAGCCTGGTCAAAATGTTTTTGAGAAGTAGGCAAGCTGGCCATAGAAATAGAAGGTAGAGGGCAAACCTCGTCCAAACTAGAAGCCTAACAGATATTTTGTTGTAGACGGCCAAATCCCCAGTTACCAGCACATTTTGAATGGGCTATTTGTTATTTAGCTAATAAGTAATCTTATTATAAAAGATTACTGCATTCCTTTCTAACAATTTGCTGCTGATTGTATGCTGTATATAGCTTATGATTTGTGTGATTATCACAATTAAATTAGAAATACCTGAAGATGGTATTTGTTCACGGTAGTTTTGGATTATTTAAGCGTTTCGCAGGGAAAATTAAGTCATTCTACGTCGGTCAGTCTTAGGTTTGACCACTTTCTTTTTTTTTTTTATTTCATGTAATTTTGTTTTACAACTCACTGCAAAATATTACTGCTTTCATTAAATTTTCTGTGTGATTAGTAGTGTAAGTAGGTTTATTTTAGCTACCCTTTCCTCGGGGCATAGTGCTACTGCATTAGATGAGGAATACTTTTCCGCATATTTTTTGGCCACTTCTAAAGAGTGGCTCTTTAGTGGTTTTTCGTATCTGGCGTAGCACAGCCTAATTTTGTATAACCCTTCAGTTTCAGCGAATACTTGCAGTACATTGCAGATTTGCAGTAGGATGTAATAGTGTAATAGGATGTGTAGACTACAAGACTGGCTGACTCATCCTAAATAAACTTTCACATTGAATATCTCAATGTAGTCAGAATTAAAAACTTTTAGGGGCCTTTTACATGATATCCGAATGAGTTTTGCTCAAGAACG